TATTTATAATAATACGTTTATACGTAATAATACTTACTTTGAAGTTTTTTCTGCTAAACCCAACATCTGAGCCTACTCAAAGTCAGTTTCTAATAATTGCCTTTTTTCCCAATCCTGAGTTACATTTTCCTGTTTCTTTCTATGTCTTGTAATTTTTTGTTGAACACTGAACATTTTAAATAATATATTAGAGCAACTCTGGATTCTGATTTTTACCTTCTGAATGATTTCACCCCTGCCCTTTTATTAGTAACTTGCCTGAACTTAATCTGCAGAATCTGTCTCCCTATGGTGTGCAGCACATATCTCTGCTCAGTTGTTTTGTTCTTAATTTTTTTTTTTTTTTTTTTGGTGCCTGTCTTTGCCATGGTTACTCCTGTATCTGCATATCTTAATGGTCAGCCAATGATTGAATAGACATTGTTTTCTAACCTGTAAGGTCTCCATCCTCTGCTGATGAATCTCTTCATAAATTGAAAAGCAAGATATTTTTCATGTCTGCTTCAGCTTCCACTTTCCACAAAACCCTCTCAAGTTTCCCCTGTGCATGTACACACCTTCCAGTCACCCAGGGATGTGTGGAAAGCTTATCTAATCCTGTAATGGCTCTCTTGTTTCTAGGATCTTCCCTTTAAATTTCTGCTGGTTCATTCCTTCTGCCAAGGAGTACAACCTCACACTAGCCAAGCTATGCATTTTCCATTTTGCTTCCTACAATGTTTGCTATGTTTACTGATAATACCACAGGGCATAGGTTTGTGTCCTCCACTCCAAATCAAGTTAGCTTCCTTTGAAAGCAGCACTATTGGTTTTCATAGCCAATCATACTCTGGCAAATAGTACCTCACCAACTAAGCTGGAGATTGGGATGGGGAATGGGCTACATGTTCCTACTATCTTACCTGAAGTTTTAGAAGTATTTTATGAACAAATGTTTCTCTTTTTTGCTTTAGTTTCAGTTTTGTTCATTTGACTTGGGTCCATTTCTACTGTTTGGAAATCATTGTGTTTGGTAACCATGATAGGCAGAATTCTGAGAATGTCCCCCAATGAACCTTGCATTTGTACAATCCCTTTCCCTTTGAGTGTGGGTGAAACCTGTGCATATGATGAAATGTCACTCCTGTGATCATGTGATACAGGCACACCTCAGAGATACTGCAGGTTCGGTTCCAGACCACCACATTAAAGCAGATATCACAATAAAGTGAGTCACACAAATTTTTGGGTTTCCCAGTACATATAAAAGTTATATTTACACTATACTGTAGTCTATTAAGTGTGCAATAACATTATGTCTAAAAAAATGTATGTGCCTTCATTTAAAAATCCTTTATTGCTAAAAAATGCTAACCATCATCTGGCCCTTCAACAAGTCATAATCTTGTTGATGGTGGAGTGTTTTGCCTCAGTGTTGAGGGATGCTGACTGATCAGAGTGGTGGGTGCAGAAGGTTAGGGTAGCTGTGGCAATTTCTTAAAATAAGACAGCAATGAAGATTGCTACATCAATTGACTCTTCCTTTCATGAAAGGTTTCTCTGTAGTATGTGATGCATTTTACCCACAGTAGAACTTCTTTCAAAATTGAAGTCAATTCCAACCCTGCTGCTGCTTCATCAACTAAGTTTATGCTATAGTCTAAATCCTTTGTTGTCATTTCCACAGTAGTCACAGCATGATCATCAGGAGATTCCATCTCAGGAAACCACTTTCTTTGCTCATCTATCAGAAACAACTCCTCATCTGTTCGAGTTTTATCATGATATCACAACAATTCAGACACATCTTCAGGCTCTACTTCTAATTCTCCTGCTATTTTCACCACATCTGCGGTGACTTCCTGTACTGAACCTCTTAAAGTCATCCATGAGAGTTGGAATCAATTTCTTCCAAACTCCTGTTAGTGCTGATATTTTGACTTCTCCCATGAATTACAAATGTTCTTAATGGCATCTAAAATAGTGAATGCTTTCCAGGAGGCTTTCAATTCATTTTGCCCACATCCCATCAGTGGATCCACAATCTATGGCAGCTATACCCTTACAAAATGTATTTCTTAAAAAGTAAGACTTGAAAGTTGCAATCGTTCCTTGAGCCCATGGGCTGCAGAATGGATAATGGCCATGGCATCTTCTCGAATGTTTCATCTACATTGAAAATCTGTTGTTCAGTATAGCCACCTTCAGTAATGATCTTAGATAGACCTTCTGGATAACTTATTGCATCTTCTCCATCAGCACTTGCTGATTCACCTTGCACTTTTTATGTTGTGGAGACAGTTTCTTTCTTTTAACTTCATGAATCAACCTCTGCTAACTTCAATCTTTTCTTCTGCGGCCTTCTCACCTCTTTCAGCTTTCACAGAATTGAACATAGTTAGGGTCTTGCTCTGATTAGAATGTTGTGGCGGGTTTGATTTTCTATCCAGACCATTGAAACTTTCTCCATATTATCAATAAGGCTATTTCACTTTATCATCATTCATGTGTTCACTGGAGTAGCACCCTTAATTTCTCTCAAGAACTTTTCCTTTGCATTCACAAGTTGCCTGTTTGGCACAAGAGGCCTAGCTTTTGATATGCCTTTCTTACTAAGCTTAATCATTTCTAATTTTTGACTTAAAGTAAAAGATGTGTAACTCTCCTTTCACATGAACACTTACAGGCCACTGTAGGGTTATTAATCAGCCTAATTTCAATTGTTGTGTCTCAGGAAAAGGGGGGCCGAGGAGAGGGAGAGAGATGGGGAATGGTTAGCCAGTGGAGCAGTCAGAAGACATGCAACATTTGTAAATTAAGTTTGTTGTCTTCTATGGGCATGGTTTGTGGCTCCTCCAAACAATTATAATAGTAATATCAAAGATTACTAATCACTGATCACCATAGCAGATATAATAATAATGAAAAAGTTTAGAAAATTGTGAGAATTACCAAAATGTGACACAGAGACACAAAGTGAACACGTGCTGTTGGACAATGGTGCCAGTAGACTTGCTTCAGGGTCGCCACAAATGTTCAATTTGTAAACAAAAACACCAAAAACAAAACAAAACAAAACAAAACAAAACCCAGTAACTGCAAAGCTCAATAAAGCAAAATGATACAAAATGAGGTGTGCCTGTATATTATAGCAAAAAGGAATTTATCTAGTGGGCCTATTATAATCATGTGAACTTTTTAAAAGCAGAGAATTCTCCTCCTGGTGGGCAGAAGGGGGAAGTCGGAGATATTCAAAGCATGAGAAGAATTTAATATTCCATTGCTGGCTGTGAAGATGGAGGACCACATAGGAAGGACCAGAGTGAAACCTCTAGAAGCTATGCGATCCCTCCCCAACAGCTAGGAAACAGAACATCAGTCCTGCAGCTGCAAGGAATTGAATTCTTCCAACAACCTGAACAAAGCAGATTCTTTCTCAGAGCCTCCAGATAAGAGCCCAATCTGGCCAGCACTTGATTTCAGCTTGTAAGGCCCTAAGCAGAGAACCCAGTCAAGTCTACCTGGACTTCAGACCTATAGAACTAGGTGATAATAAATTTGTGTTATTTAAGCTGCTAGGTTTGCAGTAATTTGTTATGCAGCAACAGAAAATTAATACAACAATTTTGTCCAGTTTTACTCTGCCACAGCTAGATTAACTTTGCTTTCTGGCAAAGTTAATTTTGAAAAATAAAATCAAGATTTTCTGCTTCTCTTGAAAAGTCGGAAGATCTTGCAACTTGAGATTTGAACTTCAAATATCTGCTACAGCTTAGCAGTGGCTCTCCCCATCCTCCTTGTGTGCCAGGATCGAGGTCCTCTGGCTCACCTGCTTTTGTCCTTGACCCCAGGTCCACATCGCCAATTACAGGCCTGGCTTTGGGGCATCTGCATCTGTAACATCTGATTAGCACACACCCAACTGGTAGGTAGTAAGCGCTCTGTATTTGTTGAACAGGCAGCATCTAGGCGACTTTTTCATGCAAGCCTGTGAATGGACATTTGGGATGATGAAGGCTCCTGGCAATGTATCCTTCAGTGCACTTAGGGAGGGGTGGAGGGTGCAGCCCACAAAGCCTGTCCACCTGAAGGGGATTTCCTGGATGTCTCATCAAGGACTATCGCGGACATCTCCCTGGCCCAGCCCTAGCTGGAAGGAGGCTGGGAGGTGCAGTTGTCAGCTTAGCGCATGCCACCGCTGGCTGGACAAGGAAGTCAGGGTTCTGAGAGAGAGGAGAAAAGAGGGGCCTGGTATTGCATTAAACGGCTATTAATAGCATTCTCAACACATAGAACACAAAGAAGACCAAGAGCAGCACCTAAGAAGCCCTCTCTGTGCTTCCTCCTTGTCGGCACCCCCCGCCCAGGGTAACCACTACCTATAACATAGATCAGCGCTGCCTCTTGTCCAACTCCATGTAAGTGGAATCCTACAGAGTGGGCTTCGTGTCTGTCTCCTTTCACTTACAGCATGAATATTTAAGGAGAAAAAAAATAGTATCAGAGCAGCTCAAATTTTCAAACAAGAAATTTATTAATTAGCCTTGAGGAAACCAAGACTATCAGTGATAGAATTATCTACCTCTGTTTCTTGAATTAGTTATCATTACCCATTTGCCCTTCAGCCATGGACAGTCAAGAGAAATGAGAGGTAATGGTAGTAACAAGTATTCTTTGCCATGGGCGATATTAAAAATATTTATAAATTGGAGCCATCTGACTACTAAATGGGTGGACACAGAATGGGTAGCCCAGGTGCTGGCTGGAGTAGCATCCTAGGACCCCCGCTAGGCCAAGCCTTAGCCCTCCGTTGTTGGATTGGGAGGAGAGCTTGGGTTGGGTCCCTAAGGGAGGAGCTGAGATGACCAAGGAAGCAGGACTTGGGGGCTCCAGGCAGCAGCTGTTTATCAGCCAGTGCAGAATAAGCCCAGCGTCTGGACATGAGTGCAGAGGGCTGGTTGAATATTATGCTGCTCTTTGCCATAGCAGTGTGAATATCGGGCAGCCTCTGGTGAAACTGTGGCCTCAAGGTATGCTGCCATCTCAGCTCAAATGAAGTGTTTGTCTCGATGAAGGTGAGACTGGTCCATCCCCTTAGGGACAGGAGGAGACAGGACACTCAGCAGCACAGACCCTGAAGCTGGAGTTGGCACCTGATAACTGAGCAGAGCTGAGCCAAAACATCAGGGCAGGGATGTCAAAACAGCTGAAGCTCACTTCCTTAGTAAGGCAGCCTCGCAAATAAAGCTTTACTCATCCTCGGCACATAATTCTTTCTTACTTTCCCACTCTGCTTCAAAATTAGGATGTGTTAGACATATAAAAATAACAGTAAACACAGGAATAAGGAAAAGTTGATTCAGGACTCAAGACCCCTCTCCCGAAAATAGTAGCCATGTGTTCACTCCCAACCCCACTCCCTTGCCTGGACTCGAGAGATCGTGGGCACAGCTAACTGCTCGTGTTCCCAGCCTCCCTGGCAAGCGGGGTGGCCAGATAATCTGGCTCTGGCCAATAGATCCAGGTGGAACTCAGCTGTGGGTCGGGGGAAGGGGTTGAGGGAAAGCTTTTGTTTTTCTCGTACAAAGGGACAGCTGCAGCTGACTCTGGCCTTCCGCTCTCCTCCTGCCCTCACTGTGGGCACGATGCCTGGAATGGAAGCTGCCATCTTGAAGCCATGACGGACAGGCCAGGAGAATGGCAACTACACCAGCTCTGGCCCTCTTGAGCTGCTGAACAAATGCTAACAGCTGCGTGCTCCAGACTTTCTGTCCTGTGAATAAATGGAAACTCTGTCCGTTATGCTTGCTGATACAACTAATACAAACCATTACTTATCACGAATAGGCAAAACAGTGGCAGTGGTGGGAACACAGCAAGGATTTTCCACGTCTAGTTAAGGCATCAGAAGAAGCTGTCGCTGCTTGTAGTTCCTGACAGCAAGGGGGTTATCACAGACTCCTGGGGGCAGGTCAAAATGACACAGAAGTCGACTTGAAGGGGCTTCCACTGGCCAAGGAAGAGGCAACTTTAGCATAAAAAAAACCCAACTATAATCAATTAAAATGAGTTGGAAATGGATGAAGGGAAAGAATCAAGCACTTATCTCGCCTTTCGCGTATGAACTGTATTTTAGAGTAACCAACCAGGTGATGAGTAGCTCTTTACAGAATAATTCCAGCCAATAAAGACAGAAGGAATGACAGAATTAGAAAATCACCACCTTGCAATGTGCAATGAAAATACTGAATCTAGTCAATGGCCATTAATAACTGTTAAGTGAAAAGGTGACAGAACCTGCTTATAACGGATGGATCGGGCTACACCACCAGATCCCATTGCTCGATTTTTGCATCTTTAAAGGTGGAGCCATCAGATAGGTCCCCCTTGATGTGATTTATGAGAAAGGACGCAGCATCTCCTATGATGTTTTCTAGCCAAAAAACTGTTGTAACAAGAATCGAATCCAGTTGACAGGAAATGGTAGAACAAGGAAATTGGCACCAGCAGGAAACAATGAGCTGATCTCAAGGATGGGACAGTCTACAGGCCACATGACTCCTTTGTCTCCCTCCTCGTGTGAATGGCATGAAAAGGGGGAAAGGCGAAGAATTGCTGTAGCGTCAAAGACACTTAAGGGTCCTTTCAATAAAATTCCATGTTTAGATCGTGTTTGGATCCTTATTTGAACAAGACAACTATAAAAATATTATGTGAGCTAATTAGGAAAATTTTTATAGGTTCTGGGGATTGCATCACACGATAATGGCATTGCAGTTATGTCTTTAAAAAGTTCTTCTCTGACAGAGATTCTTACTGAAATATTTGTGGATGAAATGAAATGACCCCGGAATTTGCTTTAAAATATTTCGGCAAAAGGCAAACAAAAATTTTATATAGGGGAGCATGGAGGAAACAAAATCAGGTGATACATAAAGGGGTTTGTTTTAATTTTTGTCTCTACTTTTATGCACGGTTGAACATTTTGCATAAAAAGTTTTTTTTTTTAAATAGGTGATTATTTTATCTTCCTGCATTCTAGATGCCAATAGAAACAAAATGAGAAATCAATTAAAACAAATTCTGTCAAAGCCCCCAAATTCTATTTCCTCCCTTCATAGTGTTATGTTCATAAAAGCTAAAATAAATGCTACATTCACAAAAGCAGGATATAAAGCAGTGTCATGTACCTGTACTTAAAGCATAAGATTTCAGGAGTACCTTAGAAATATTAGCGCACCTGCCCAGGATACCGTCCGTGTTCTAGTGCACCCGGGGGGTTCACCAGAGTAGTTTTCTTCTCTGTTTCCCTGGATTTCCAAGAGCACTTTGCTCTTCCCATTGATTTCTAACACTTGTCCATCCTCTTCCAACAGCCCATGAGCCATCCCCCCTTCTCCGATTAAGGAGATTCCTGATTAGAGTAAGACCAAGAACTGATTCCTGTAATTCTTTATGTTCCCTATGTCTAGGGTGGTGTTAACACATAGTAAGTGCTCAATAAATATTTAGGGAAAGTGTAAACAGAACCTGGTTCACTATGTTTATACTTGTGGAGTCTGAAACCCCAAAGAGGTTAGGACTGCAACTCATTCATGGGAATCAGAACCGTTTCTGAGAACTTGTAACTTCTGGTCCTTAATCCAGTGCTACTTTTGAATTTCATTTCTGATTCCACAAGTCTTCCTCTTTATGGAAAGATTCTTCTTCTACCAGTGCCAAGTGCGTCATTTCCAGTGTCCTCACCCCAACCCCAATTCTCACAGCACACTCGGTGTTTTCTGCCATGACACTTTTAGATCCTTCTAGAGGACATTACTCTTTTAGGCAGGGGAGATTATAAGTAGTTACATAACACAGATAACATGGTGTTGTTTTTGATAATAATAATAAAAATGAAATCCTTAACACTCATGTTTCCTGAACTATTAACTCTTCCCTTATTTCGGGTCCAGCTTTTAATTCTCTGAGTCAAGAAAAGGAAACCAGGAAATTACTTGGTTTACTTGTTTCTTGACTTCTGGCCCCAAAGTCATGGTCGTCACTGTGGTGTGCATGACAACCCACTCCTGACCGAAAACAACCTTGGTTTCTCTGAGCCCCGCAGATCACTCCGAGCCAGCCTTGGTCAGAGGTCGTCCTCAGCTACTCCGCTCAGCCCACCTTCAGGAAAGACTGTTTTTTCAATTGCCTCCAAAGTTACAAACCGCAGCGATGAATGAAAAGCCAACCCAGATATCGATCGCCCACCCTCATTGCTTACTTCTGTGTCCCTCAGGTCTTCGTTTCTGGTCACATCCTGTGACCTCCCATCTTGGTTAGATGGCCCACTTGCTACCTTGTGTGCCCAAAACACGTCACGAGCCACCTGTCATGGCTATTCCAACACACTCTACAATAGTTTCTTAACTTCACTCTAGCTTGTAAGCTCCTCCCCAAGGTAGGGACTGCAAGCCTGTCACCATTGTATCCCCAGTCCCTGACCCACGGTAGCTACTCCATGAATGCTTTTCAGGTGACAATACCAAGAAGTTGAATGAATGCCTTTCAAGATTCAAAAGTCCAGTAATGAAGACCCCAAATTTAGACCACCCTACTTGTTAAGGTGTTAAAAAAAAAATAACTTTTGCACGCAAGGTTTAACTTAAAAGAATAATGGTATCAGTGAAGTCATTGCTCTTAAAAAAAGAAAAAAAAAGAAAAGAAAAAAGAATAATGCTAGAAGAGGAGGCACCATATAGTCTTCAGAAAGTGACTGAACGATTTGGTAGGAGAAGTAGGATGAGTCACACATGCACCTACCGTCTGTCCCTCTTCTTTCCTTCTTTCTGTGAGAGGCTGTCTTCTCTGGAATGACCGGCCTGAGGTTTGACTTGTCCTCCTCATCTAGTCCTTTTCCGCCTCTCCTACCAGAGGAAAGTTGGGGGTGTGGTGAAAGGAACAAAGACTGCTGGCAATGGCGGGGCCCTCGTCTTCTGACACTCGCACACGCCCTCACCCTACGTGGGAACCTGACTCACCCGAGGGTGACTAAATCTGTACCTGATGTGTACTTGGGGCCCCTCCCACCAAGGGCCCCTTGCCTGCACCTGACGCTAGTTAGCAGATCTCAACCTGCGATAAGGAGGATGGGTGTGGGTTATTCATGGTAACCCCATACTTCCTACATAGTAAACCCTCATTATTCAAGGTAATGGAGTATTAATGGGAGTTCAGAGCCAAGAGAAAAGCCCCAAAAATACCTCAATCCAAACTGAGAGTGAAAATAGGATGGTTTCTTTTATCACCAGTAAGCTTTATCTGACCCCATACCAAATGAAACCAACCAAGGGCCTAATTCAGCTTTTAGGGGTTGCTAACCCTAGTCACAAACCAACTGAGATTTAAAGTCATGAAGTGTACAGTCTGCAATGTCTGTAAACTCAAGACTGAAGTTCAAATCATTCATATTTCACAAAGTATCTTTTCAACAGATTTACCCATTGTCAGTTCTGGTAGAAAAATATCAGTTCAATGACCATTGTCCTTTTATTCACCATCCACAATAACCTGCCTCAGCTGAAAGGCCATTTGGAAAAGGAGAAAGCCCAGGAACTGTGGGGCCTACGGCCATGCGCAGGGCTCTGAGGAGTGATCCCATCCTCCTGGGCACTGGGGACACCAACACTCTAAGCCATGTCTTGGCCCCATGGAGGCTGGTGTTCATTGGCTGCCAAGATGTCATATAATAATACCAGTAACCAGCCTAGACCTGCAGTGGCTTTGGTTTTAGAGATAGAAGAAAAAAGAATGTCTCCAAGAGCAGGTATTTGTATTGCTTTTGACTGGTACAGAGTTTTTGCCTTTGTGATGGTTCCACAGACACCAGAATTCAAATTCTGTGGGAGCAGGAACCTCGTGTGTTTTGTTCACCACTGTAGCTCCAGCACCTTTCATGGGTGCAAGGCACAGAGTAAGCGCCATAGACGCTTGTTGAATGAATGAACCAATGTCATGTATATTACCATGAATGAATGACACAAATCTGTGTTATATATGTTTTGGGAAAGAGAACTAAGAAGCTGAGAGTGGACTGATTTATTTGAGGTGGTGGTCACCAGCCCAGCGTTTGGCTCTTATGATTCATTTAGTTGTTCAGAAAATACAGCCCTCCTGGTCTCATCTGATCTTAGAAGCTAAGCAAGGTTGGGCCTGGTTAGTAGTTGGATGGGAGAAAATACAGCCGAATTACTGCCCTGGTGTTCCTCTAATATTTTCTAGAAGGTAGGAAAATACAAAATCGCACGATTAAACAACATATGCATGTAGAACTAAAGATAAGTCTTGATTCAACGTCTAAAAAGCAACAACTACTATTCACAACATTACAGACATGAAGAACATCTCACAAGAAGAGTAGAAACAAGGGTAGGGTATGGATTTTGGTGTCTTCAAAGGTGAAACGACAATCTCCAAGCTCCTGTCTGCTGTTCTTTGCTCCATAGCCATAGTGCACGTCAGTTAGTTGCGTTATATTAGTAGAGGACATAACAAGGAATTTATATAGGTCAGAGAATATTTTAAAATTCCAAACAGAAGAGCTGTTAATGAGTTTAGTTTGGGGTGTCTTGCCACCAGAAAAATGACAGACCTTTCCTAAACACCTTTGGCTGTTTGCTCATCAAAAAAAGTCACACATTTTTCTCTCTGTAAAAAGTGTCAAAGGAAAAAAAAAAAAAAGACTGAGTGCAGTTGTGCTCCCAATGCACCGAGGACCGGGACTGTTTTTAAATTCAATATATATATTGTGCTAACCCTAGAGATCCATGAGAAAGTCCCACTTAGAGAAGGCAGATGAGGTCAATGTCCTTCTGTTCCATCTCAGGGACACTTTGCAGGGTGAAGACTGAAATGCTGAGGCCTAGGCAACATTCTCACCCATTAGAGGGGAAAAGGTTGCCTGCGTTTTCTTTTGTTTTTAGTAAGAGTTCATGATGACTTCCCAGAAATTTCTGTCTCTGCTACTGCAACCTTTCACAAGCTCCGGATAAAACTCCTATATATATTTTAACCATATAATGGGAATGTTACGATGCAAATCCTGGTGGTAGTTTCCTGAGATAAGCCCATTTTAAATATGTGGGTTCAAAACAAACTTTGAAGAAGCCTCAGTCTGATTAGGCCCCTTGCTTACTGAGGACTCTGTGCAGAAAATAAGAGAGTGCACCACACGCTGACTTTGAACTCTGGGCTGCTATTACGTCGCTGTCCGAGCTTGGTCAAGGCTTCGGACTGACATCTGTATTTTGAGGGTGATGCTACCGCCCATCTCAAAGGGCTGTTGAAGTGAGGGTTGAGTGACGAGTGTTTAAAAAGGCTGGCAAATGTCAGCAGTGCCGGTAGTACTAGGAAGTGAGTGCTCACATCTGTGGAGTAGACGTTCTGGACATCAAAACATAATCCTCAATTCCAGACAGTGTGGCCAGGCGTGGTGGCTCACGCCTGTAATACTAGCACTCTGGGAGGCCTAAGCAGGAGGATCGCTCAAGGTCACGAGTTTGAGACCAGCCTGAGCAAGAGCGAGACCCCATCTCTACTATAAATAGAAAGAAATTAATAAGCCAATTAAAAATATATAGAGAAAAAAATTAGCCGGGCATGGTGGCGCATGCCTGTAGTCCCAGCTACTCAGGAGGCTGAGGCAGGAGGATCGCCTAAGCCCAGGAGTTTGAGGTGGCTGTGAACTAGGCTGACGCCACAATACTCTAGCAAGAGTGAGACTCTGTCTCAAAAAAAAAAAAAAAAAATTCGGGACAGTGTGAATCAACCCCCAAACAAAGGGCTTAAACTTGAAGGTACAAAGGATCTTGGGGCTGCAGCTATTTTGGCAATACCTATTAACATTCAAATGCTCATCCTTCCGTAACCAGCAAGTCCACTTTCCAGCCCGTTGCAGTTTCTGAAGAAACCCACACACCTTGGCACAAGCAGGTATGTTCGAGCATGTTCTCTATAGTATTGCTTGTGCAAGCAGAAAAAACTGTAAATAACCTGAGAATCCACTAATAGCCTCAAACAATGTATATCCACACAGTGAAACACCATGCTGCTAAAAATGATGAAGTGGCCCTCAACTTTCTATCATAGAAAGTTCTTCAAGAATAACATTGAGTGAGAAAAATAAAATCACAGAATGATACAAAAAGTGATATTTATGTAAAAACCCAAACACAAAATAATCATAGATGATTTCTCTAGAAATGTGTGTGCGTGTGTGTAAATAACAGAAAGATGTTCTGGAAATAGGCAGCTACAAGGTAGGTTGGCCAAATGAGAAGTCAAACATCTCAGAAATGTTTTGTTTTCTCTTCATGTATTTCACATACAAAATAAAAATCATCACATATAATAGCTAATAAAATATATTTATATACAATATCTAATATATATAGCAGTGTACAATAATTTATAATCAGTATAACAAAATTTATTATTGAACCATAATAACTTATTGAACAAATGTATCAGAGTAATTTATAATTTTTATGTATGCAATTTATAATTTGTATATGAAATTAAAAAGAACTACTTTGGGAGGTCTGTTAAACGTGCAGATTCCTGGATCTCACACCCAGATATTTTAATTCCCCTTGGTTTGGGGTTTGACCCAGGAGTATGAATTTTTAGCAAGAAGATTACGCCACTGATGGCCCAAGGCTTATACTTTGAGAACATTTCATTTTAAAAACTTCTCCCACTGTAGGGCATACATGAAGCACCAGGAGGCTTATGAAAGCACACTTCTGCTGCTGCAGGTCTGGGGTGGGGCCCAGGATTCTGTATGTCTAAGGAGGTGACACTGCTGGTCTTTACACCCGCCTGTGAAGGTGAACTTGAATCAGGCTTTGAAACGAGTAGAAATTCATGGGTATGGGAAGGGCCTCAGAAGGGGAGGGGCAGACGTGTGGAGGCAGAAGTGAAGGAGCTGTGCCGAGGGACATCAAGGGGCCTGGCCTGTCGGGAGGGACAGAGGAGAGCCTGGCAGGTGCGGTAATGCCAGGCGAGGACCTGGCACTTGGTCCATCAGCAACTGCTGGAGGCTTAAGGTGGGAGCCCAGAGTGCCTGAAGCAAGGGGAGGAGAGGATGAATGTGGGAAGGGTACCAGGAGAGGTAAGGCCACAGTCCCAGGCCCAGGCGTCAGAGGAGCAGCCGATGATGCAGGGCTGGTCCTGAATCCAAGGTCAGGGCTGCCTGGCAAGGCGGGCCCACCATCCCAAGCAGGGAAGGGACAGTTATGGTCCCTCTCCTGGGACAGAGGTATAAACTGCACCTCTAAATTGCAGGGAGGCTCCAGACCTGCTGATATTCTGCAGTGGACAAAGGGTTGCTTTCCACATTTCTGGGACCAGGCTAGTGTCACTTTTCTTTGTGTGAAATGGTATTTTTTCCAAACCAATAGAAGAAGGAAGTTATTCAACAGGGTTTGGACTAGCCCACACAACTGTTAAGAGGGCTTAAAGAGAAAGTTGATGATTAAGGTCAAGATGACAATACAGGATAGGATAAGGCAGGGACAGCGCCTTGCAAAATCCCACAAATCATGATTCGTGTTTGACTCTCAAGGGGGTTATTTGACTCTGAGTAATTAACTTAATTCTCTGCTTCATTTTGCAGGAGGAGATGGAACCACCCACTTTTTTCCCAAACTCATATCATATAGAATGACTTCAGAACAACAGGCACCCATTAGCACCCACTTTGCAAATTTCCAGTTCCAGGGGGTTCCCAGGCGGTTTCCCTCACTCCCCCAGTAGGCTGCTGAGGCTCAGAGTGGTGTCACACGGCTGTGCTCAGGGGCCGAGAGGGCTCAGTGCTTCAGAGTCTCTGCGTGCTTGTTCTATATTGGCAGCTGCACATTTTGAGCACTTATCATATGGAGACTACTATACAATCTGTTTTAATTGCATCTGAAGGAAGTACAAGCAGGCACCTGCATTAAAACTTGCCAGCCCAGCTCTGATTGCAGCTTAGTAGAATTATGTTTGCATGTGAACAGTTACATGCAAAATTGAGAATCCAGTTCTGTTGTGGTAGTAAGATTATGGGGTATTATAATTATATCTTTTACAATTTGATCTTAATGGTGCCATTGCCTTTTCAATTAAAAACAATTTATCATATGCATTTGACCATTTTCTAAATGAAGCTATTTAATTATTCTTAATAAAAATACCTTTTTCCTAATTTGAAAAGCAATATGTTATTGTAGAAAACAGAGAAAGTATAGTAAAGACAATTAAAGCCACTCATCATTTCCCCACTTAGAAATTTAGATTTTACAGTAATTTAAAGAAAAACTGGGCCAGGCACAGTGGCTCACACCTGTAATCCTAGCACTCTGGGAGGCCAAGGCAGGAGGATTGCTTGAGCTCAGGAGTTCGAGACCAACCTGAGAAAGAGTGAGACCCCATCTCTACTAAAAATAGAAAAATTATCCAGACATCATGGCTTGTGCCTGTAGTCACAGCTACTTGGGTGGCTGAGGCAGGAGGATCGCTTGAGGCCAGGAATCAGAGGTTGCTTCCTGAGCTAGGCTGACACCACTGTACTTCTAGCTGGGGCAACACAGTGAGACTCTGTCTCAAAAAAAGAAAGAAAGAAAGAAACTCGATGAACTCTTTTCTCAAATAAACTTTTGGATAATTTTAGATTTATATAAAAGTTGCAAAGATAGTACAGAGGTTCCCATAAACCCTCAGCCCAACTTTCCCTACATGTTACATAACTATGGAATATTCATCAAAAGTAAGACATTAACATTGGTACAATACTACTAGTTAAACCACAAGGTCTATTCAGATTTTGCCAGTTTTTCTAATGTCCTTTTTCCAGTCTAGGATTCCATCCAAGGTTTGCATTGGGTGGACTCGTGCTCAATTTTTTAAGTCTCCATACTCCTCAGGTGTAATGAGCAAAATACTAATAAGGAAAGACGGCGTTGATATTATTTGATGTTTTTTGAGCAGCAGAATAAAGCACTGGGTATCTACAACCCTTGTGTCAGTAGTACGGGAAGGCAGGGAGTGTAAGTTGTCTTTGTCCAGGCCCCTAAGGAGGACACCCACCAGAGGGTCGGGTGTGCGGTTGAGCAGGACAGCTGAGATGCAGCAGTGGTGTCCTGCTTGGCAGGGTGCAGGGGCCCAGCGCCCCAGGGGCTTGGCCTGGGGAGGCCACTTGTTATTTCTTCTTTTAATGGCAAAGAGTGTGAGGGCAAGGAATGCAGCAGTCCTCTCTCCCTCCCTTCCTTCTGTTCTCGCCACCTCTCCTCCTTTGTTCAATCACTCAATAAGTGTTTCTTGAGTGCGAGGCACTGTGCTATGGGGAGCAGAGGATGCGCCTTCGAACAGGACAGGCACTGCCCTCGTGGAGACTGCCAACTAGCAAGGAGGAGAGGCTTTCTTCCAATGACCCTACCCATAATATACAATTGCAGCTCGGATTAGTGCTATGAGGTGAGGGACCACAGTCGAGGAGACCTAATCTTCATATCAAGGAAAGGGACATTTATGCTGAGTGTGAATGATGGGTAGGAGCTGTTCAGACAAGGCAAAATGTGCAAATCCAGGTGGAGGACACAGGTTGGGCAAAGGCCAGAGGTGGGAAAGCGTGCTGGCACGGTGCCTCCCTTCATAAACTCTGTTGAACAGATGAATGAAGCTCTCCATTCACAGTATATTTAAAGATGTGTCTACTTAAGAGACTAGAAACCCAACCAGTAATCCTTGTCAATAGGATTCCTAAGCCCCACTACAGCTCTCCATCTCACAATTCCTACCAAGACAATCCCTCGGCATCATCTGCAGTTCCAAGGTAACCTACCTCCTCTCCCTCAGCCCAAAGGATGGCCCAGCAGGTGGTCCCCCAGCCACCCCAGTCACCAACTGGAGTGGATGGCGCTCTGCCCCCCTGGCACAGGCCAAGCTCCTGGCATTGCCAGTTCCACCTCCCTCCCGTGCCAGGTGTGTCCTCCCCAGCATCCTGGGGGTCTTCTGCTTGAGCTTCAACCTAGCTGTGTGGGTCGTAGTGCTACGGAAAATGTCGGGCGCCGGGGCGTGGCTACTTGCCGCCTCCCTGTTGCTCTGCATCTCGGTCGGCCAGCGCTGCGTGTGGCCAGTTGGAGGGCACGCTGCTGGGGCGAGGCCCCTCGGCAGAGAGCCGCTGGGGCCTGCATGCCAGAATGCCTCCAGGCCCGCCTCCCGCTACCCGGTTCCGGCCACGCTGCTTGCGTGATCCTGATTGGGTAATTTCTGAATCCCACTGTTTTTGGTTGGATGTTAAAGCTTGATGTTGATTGGATGCTTTTTGAGCCCTACCAAGGGTATAAAAGCAGGAGGAGAACAAGGAAGGGGGGCAGAGGGGCAGAAGATCAGAAGACAGGAAGAGAGCTGGAACACTAGGTGAGCTGAGCCTGCCAGAGGAACAAAGGCTGTTCTCCGACTCCGTGTGTGCCCCTTGGTTCTTTCCCTGGTCAAGAGCTGTAACACTAGTTGTACACTTGCCATAACAGTAGCAGTTCATCCCTGTTACCTATCAAGTCTCCTCACAGGAGGACACACCCTTCCCTCTGTAAGGCCCTGTAGACCTGGAATCTTTATCTGTGAGTGCTGCCGAGGGTCACTTGGTAGCCAACTACCGGGAGGTGGTTCATCTCTCAGGGAAGTTTTGGAAGACCATCAAGGTTTCACATGCTTGACAGGAGGCTGGAGAACTAGCCTTGCAGCTGCTGGCAGGGTGGGCAACAGAGATGGGAGAGCCCGTGAGCTGCTGCTGCTATGACCATTTGCCCTTCTCTATTTGCCCCAGTGTTGCTGATCCCTCGTGATCTCATCAGTCTCTGGAAGAATTGGCGGGGGCCAGGAGAAGAGGATCTTGTCTTTTGACATACCCTAACTCCCAAAGGCCACACACATAAAGAGATGTCCCAAAGAGTGACTGGGGTAGAATAGGACAGGAAGTTGGATGCAAGATGGACAAACTATGACACATGTCCACTGCAATAACTTTGTTTATTTTCCCAGCCATCATCCATTGACTGCCTGATATGACCCCAAACCCTATCCTAGGCCTTGGTGGCCTGAAGGTGAGTGAGACACAGAACTTTCTCTCCAGATGTTTGCTTTTACTCTTGGAAGGGAGCAGATGGGAAACACATCAGTACTGTAAGTGTTGGAAGGGCCTCAAAACATGTCTGCGCTGAATGCACAAAGGAAAGCGTGATTAGTTCTGCATGGGAGAACTGCAAGGGTGCTTGGTAAAGTCTGATAGTAGAGGTAACGCTGGGGTTACATCTTGAAGGAGGGATGTTTGGCTAGCAGGCAGCTTTCGGGCGAGTTTAGGCAAGGTATGAGAACATTCCAGGCAGAGAGATTCCAGGCAGATGTAAAAGCATGGAGGTGTGAAGTAGGCACAATGTTTAGGGAGTTGTGAGCCATTTGTTATGGCTGGAATTCCCAGCTTGAATGGGTTCTGGCAAAAGATTAAGGCTGCTCAGATAGAGGGCTAGGCTGTGCCTGGGACTGTGGATTTCATTCTCTAGACCTGCGCTGCCCAATATGGTAGCCATATGGGGCAATTTAAACTTAAATTAATTCAAGTAAAATACAATCAAAAATCCAATTCCTCAGACACATCACTCACATTGCAAGTGCTCAATAGCCACACGTGCCTAGAGGTTACCATATCGGACAATGCATACGTATTAATAGAACATTTCTATCATCACAGGAAGTTCTATTGAACACTGCTGGCCTAGACTCTGGGGAACCACTGAAGGATTTTAAGCAAGGGAATGACATATCCCTATTTGTATTTCACAGAGTCCTCCCTTGTGGACACTTGAGGCTAGAGATCAGTTAGAGGACAGTTGAGACAGCCTAGCAAAGAGGCTGCTGTCACAACAGGAATTGTCCGCTTTGCCTGGAATGTGTTCTTATGCAAAACCGAGCGGGGAATTATTCAGGGTGACTAATGCTTCACCTTGGTCCGATGTCTTCCCATCCCGACGTGGGAGACAGGACTCCCCAACGGATCACAACTAGTGAATCTGGACGTCCCACCCTGTGGAATGGATCTCACTTCCTCTCCAGTGGGTCCTGGTGCTTCTTATGTGAACCTAAAGTGTGTTCACAAGACACAGCGACCCCCACGCCCTAGGAGTCACATGCCCAAGACCCGCCTCCTCGCACCAAGCAGGTGGAGAAGACTTAAGTCTTGCCACCACGTAAGTCAGGGTGGCTGTCCAACTGAATCTCCAGTCGCCTGTGGTCCTTAAGCACCGAAGTGGCCGGGAGTTGGGAGGCTAAGAAGGCAGGGTGTCCTGTGAGCACTGACACATACGCCCTAACCTTCCGTCAGTTTCCCCAGCTGTGTGCAGCTGCAGAGGTGGGAGACCGGCATGCCGACGCCCTGGAGTGTGTGAACATGACCCTCACGCTCCCGCTGAGTCAGAAGCGGACCCGGGAGTCAAAGGACTGGTTCAAGGTCCAGCCTTGCCAGTCGGCTAAAAGCAGGCTCCTTGATAATCCTCATTCCACAGACCCTCAGCCCTCGCTGCAGGCCAGGCCCTGTGCTAAGCTCTTAGAGATGCTCATTTCATCCCCACAGTAATTCCGGAAGCTGGTGCTGTCATTATCTGTACTTTACAGAGAGGAAACCGAGGCATGGAGATTAAGCCATGTGCCCAAGTGTGCACAGCTGCCGGCACCAAACCCAGCGCCGGCACACCACGTGCTGCTGAGAAGGTGCAGGTGGGCCTCAGCCCTGTGGACGCTTCCCTCACCAGCTCAGCGCGGACGCTTCTGCTGTTAGTGCTGTGGTCACTAAGACGACGGTGGCCCTGCGAGGGGGCGTGAATGGCTTTGAGGAGGGGCCGGCACAAGTGCCTCAAACACACCACATTCCGTGCCCTTTATTGATAATGACCTCTCAAACAAGGAGCTCTTGCTGCCTCCTTAGCCAGCTGCTGCCATAGTGGGACTCCTCTCTCAGTGACGCCCGTGTCGTCTGTGGCTGCGCCTCAGCGCCCATCACGCCTCCTGCAGAGAAACCTCTTTGGGAGGCGGCTGTAGTGCATGACCTCCAGCACCCAGACGGCAACGCACACCTGCAGGTCTCCCGGCACTGAGCTGGTGACAGCTGCCTGTGCACCCGCCCACGCTGCTCCCGCTGCAGTGGCAGCCCGCCCTGTGTCCCCACGGCCAGCCACAGTGGGCCGGCATGTGTGTGTCTGAGGACGTTTTTAACTAATGAACACGCTATCCAGATGGAGCCCTCCGGGTGTGTCTGAGACACATCACCGACCACACTCTGGCCCTTGGGTCAGGTGATGACTTGAGAGCTAGGCACCTGCAGAGCTTGTTTGCTTCTGTTGTTTTGTTGGATGATCCTAGCAACTTGTAAAGGAGATTGTTAATACATATAATGGAAAAATCCAGGCTGGGCATGGTGGTTCATGCCTGCAATCCCAGCACTTTGGGAGGCTGAGGTGGGAAGATCACTTGAGGCCAGGAGTTCAAGACCAGCCTAGGCAACATAGCAAGACCCCTTCTCTAAGATAAAAAAAAAAAAAAAAAGGAAAAATCCAGGGGTATTTTGCTGGCTTTGGTTCTAGCTTGATCCAAGGGCTAAGAGTGCTATCCTGACTTGTTTTCTCTTGTTCTCTGAACTCTGACATCGATGTGTGGCTCCCTCCATATTGAAGGCTAGATGGCTACAGAATGACTAACTTAAGGGTTGAGTGCAGTAAGAAGAGGAAAATCTCAGGGCTTCCGCAATAATTCCTAAGATTTATTCTGATTGGATTGGCTTAGGGTGTGTGCCTGAGCGGGAGCCAATCATTGTTGCCCAGCGGATGAACTCTTCTCTTGAGGAATGAAGGCGGGGCAATCTCCAAACAAAAACCGAAGGTCTTACTGGACAAAAGGGGCTCAGATGCTGAGCGGTCAAACTAAAGATGTCCATCAGGTAGACGGGAAACTATTCCCAAAGAGACCCAGAGAGGTGAAGCGATGTCTCCAGGGCCACCCAGCAAAAACGTGGCAGCAGCGGGTCTGAAACCCGGTCCTTTCATCTTTAAGATACACTCTGAAAACCTGTGATCTGGGTGTTCCGATTGTGGCTAGAATGTCAATAGGAAACCCAGAGGCTTTGCAACGTTGTATGCATGCAGAGACTGTCCTCAGGGACCCCTTTTACAGTCTGGCCAAACCTGCTGTGGCCCATCCGCCCACTGCCCTCAGTGTCCCGCCCCTTCAGCTCTTGCCTTGATTCACTAGATTATGGCAACAGCCTCTGACTCCCTCCCTGCCTCTAGCTCTGCGATCTTCCACCCACTGCAGGAAGACTTCTCTCAATCCTTCCCAGTCTGGAGCTGTTTAACACAGGCCCCCGTTCAGGAGTGGCCCTGCCAGCCTCCTTGGGCCCCTCCCCTGACACACCCAGCTCACGCTGTCCAGCCCAAGAAGATGCCGATTTCTTTCTTCCATTCCAAGATCTCATTAGCTGAGGTTACAGCATTACCAGAGGTTGCGACATCAACTGAATTGCTCCTTTAAGAGTAAAGAACCATGCAAAATGGGGGGGAAACAGGGTTCTTACCTTTTCTAAAACCGCTCCAGGCCCTACAGCATCCGGCCAGTGTCAGTGTGCTCCGCCCAGAGCATTTCCCAACTGCCCTTTCCCTTCTGCGGGGCTGACTCATGCTGATCCTTCATATCACAGTTTAGATCTCGCCTCCTCCAGGAAGCCTTTCTGTTCACACTCTTAGGAGTACCTCCGTCTCCTTGTGGGGAATCCACTATAGCGTGTGGTTAAGACAGTAACCCCAACGGAGCCCCCACCCAACCACAAATGGGAGAGGCTGGCCCCTACTGTGACCATCCCACATGGCCAAGCACAGATGCCAGGTCTGTACTTGGCCACAGCAATGCTTTCTTCTGGAACACAGGAGGTGGAAGCAATGACGAAGGATCTTCTCTCCATTAGCGCTGACCCTGCTGGGCTTCTATGCGACCACTCCTACAGTTCCTTCAGCCCCTCCACCTCGGGCTGCCTTCTCTCCTGCCTTTTCCAAGCTGGTTCTACAACTTTCTTGTAATTCTGTTGCTCATTATTATCCTTTCAGTAAGCTCAGTTTCGCTGATGTCAGATGAATCTGTTTCTGTTCCCTGTCCTCAAAGTTCTTTGACTGATACACTGTATTCCTCAACAGCCCAACACCCCCACAGTGCCTGGCACAGAAGAGGCACCAGCCGCTGTGGCAGGAACTGGTTCCTGTGGGCCCCGTCCCTTCCTCCAGGCTCCCCACAGCTGGCATCGTTGTCTCACACTACAGCAAGGCCAACGCAGCCACCTGGCAAAGCTTAGCCTCCTACCTCTTTGTCCCCTCCCAATGCACAGCAAGAACCTGCCTTCCTCCCAAGCAGAGCTTTCCCCATGCAGAGGCGGAAGCTGCTGTCCTTGTGGACCAGTCCTGGCAGGGCCAGTGCCTTTCAGACTATCCTGTTCCTCAAACTCTCCTTCCTCGTCATTTAATTTAAAACCATATTAGGTGCTGTTGACGTTGGGTGGTTTAAAATAATCTTAATGTCCTCTGATTTAGTAACAAATAGTCAGGGCTTCATTTTTTTTTACTCTGTCCTGATTTGGGACTTATTTATTTTCAGTAAACAGCCACATTCCAGAGAAAATGAAATAAGCCTTTTATCTACCTTCAGGTAGAGAAATTCTCCTGGCGTATGTAGATTTTGCTCTAGGCCCCACAAAACTTTTGAATGTTCTGGACCGACTTTCCAAAATGAAATCCAGTGCATCATTAAATGCAGGCCCATCACTTCATTTGGAGATAAGGTGGGTGTTTGTTTTTATTTTACAAATTAAAATGTTTTAATCATAGAAACACAAGCACCTGGTAATGCATTATAGAGGGAAAGAAAGCTTTTGGTAAAAAGCAACAATCTCCTACCCCAGTTTTGCTCCCTCAAGTTGATTTCTCTTATCAGCATCTGCTTAGTTTTTCTCTGGCTATTTCCACGACTCTGTAATAAACTTTTTCCACGAGTGTGACTTTTCCCTGTGTCTCAGGTCCGGTTCCCCAGAAGCAGAGCTTGAGAAGGTTGAGGTGCATGAGATGTATTGAGGGCAGCTTGGAGGAGGACAGGAGCCAGGGAAGCAGGATGGTGCCTGGGATGGAGCCTCAGCTGGGCTTACCTGTGACCTGCCCCCTTGGGAGCTCCACACGTGAATTGCACCAGAGTTGACCCCACCTTGAGGCAGAGGAGTTGCTGTTGGTCACGGGCTGCCCTGGGTGGTAGGGGAGGGTTCCTAGCTTCCCCAGCAAGTCAGCTCTGCAGAGGGGTCGGCTGGGAGGTGTTGGTGCCCGGCATGGCCAGCAGAAGGGGGATGGTGCCCTAGTGTGGCTAAGGGGACCTGGGTGGGGCATCAGTAGTGTCCACCGCATCCTCTTCTGGTGACTTCTTTGAAATATATTTCAGGAAGCGGGACTATTAGATAAAATGGTGCAACATGCATATAACTCTTAGAACATGTTTCACGGTGCAGGAAATGTGGGCATTAATACTTCATTGTGAATTCATCTATCAAACATGACAGCCGGCTGAAGCAGCCCCCCCCCCCAGCTGAAGGAATGAAATATAGTGTGGGCAAGTTTGGGGAGGGCAAGAGCCTGTCTCCCAGGCATGGGAAGCAAAGAGTGTCTTGCAGGGGACTGCAGAGAGGGGAGGGGAGGGAGGGAAAGCTACAGTAAAGGGAGAACTGCTGGTGGGATGGAGGCATTGGATACCTGGCTGGGGGTGGGGCGGGTGTGGAGGTGAATGTCTTCCTGCTTGCTAAGAAACCAATGTTATACTTTGTTCCTGTGTTTCATTTACCAAATATTTTGATTTTTATGAAGAGTTTCAAACAATTCAGAAAGGTTCAATACAGAAAGAAGATGCTCCCCCCTTTATTCCCCACTGTAGTCTGTCTGCCAGTAGCAACCTCTGTTCCTAGCTTGGTTTATAATAACTGTTCTTTTGTTTTGCTTGCCTTTTTGAGGGAGATAGTTGTTCCTCCTCCTCCTCCCAGCTAACAGGTGTTTTCGACTTCTAGACTCCATAGCTTGCAAACAATAACAGAGATAATGGACTCACATCCTAAGCTAAGTCTTTCCACTAGGCAACCGGGCCCCTTGGCGCTCAGGCAGGGGACTCAGTCCTCGTGGTTATTGTCATGGGATCTGGTGCTCTGGGCTCCCGTTCAGTTTCCATGCCTCCCACATTCCTCCCTCCATGCTCTTGGCCCCTTTCAGAGCAAAGAGTCAGGTTTGCTAGGGTTTTTTCGGCCACTTCTCTCCCTGCCATGGGTCACACAAGATGCACCAAGATCATCTCTACAGCTACCATTTCTCAAAAGGCAAATGTCAGAGGCATTGCTCTGTTTTCATTCAAACTGAAGTAATATACCAACTTGTTTAATCTGAGAAAGCCAGAAAGGAAACTCCTGTTTACCCAAACTCCAAATAATAAAGGAAGCTCAAAGATCCAGATGTTCTGCATGTCACTTTTCTGAGGAAGAGACAGATAGGATGGAAATAGTTCGACTTGGGGAGTTAGTACTCAAAGCATCTCCCAGTGCAAGCTGCAGTCTTGCTTCTGGTCCCTGACACTCCAACATCTACAGGACCATGTGGGGCGATCAAACATTAATAAGAAGAAAAACTTCCAGGCACTGCCAAGCTCTGGCCCAGTGGAGTCCATGATAAATTTTGTTTCATGCAGGCAGTGTTTGGTAAGTAGATATATTCATTTATTGAAGAGATCGAACATCCACCATGTGCCTAGCAGAGTGTTAGGCACTCCGTGGGATCCCACACAAATAAAATAGTCCCGCTATTTGGTTTGAAGAAAAAACCCAAAAAAAGGTTCAAACAAAGCACAAGTAACCATTGTGCAGAGCAGCACAGGGGCAAAGGACTAGAAGAGAAGTTTAAAGTGGGGGAGGAGAAACATGGAGCCATGACAGCTTCTATAAGGGGTTATATGGAGGGCTTCTTGGAGGAAGAAGGGGAATTTGCATTGAATTCTAAGGATGGGTGACAATTTGGCAGGTAGATGTGGGGGTGGCTGGGATAAGTGGGGAATAGACATTTTGGTGGGGAGAAGTCAGGAACAAAGGTGCACAGGTTCGAGTATAGCTGTATGCAGCATGGTGCAATGCTGGGTGCAAGATGTCAGTTGCTGAGAGGATCTATTGTAGTTTCCATGTTGTAAGTTTGCCTTTTTTTTAGAGACAAGGTCTTGCACTGTCACCCAGGTGGGAGCTGGGACTGCAGATTCGCTCTACCATGCCCAGCTAATTTTTTAATTTTTTGTAGAGATGGGGCCTCCCTCTGTTGTGAAGGCTGGTCTCGAACTCCTGGCCTCAAGTGATCCTTCTGTCTTGGCCTCCCAAAGTGCTAGGATTACAGGTGTGAGCCACCACACCCAGCCTTATGAAGTTTTTAAAAAGGCTAACTGAACAGTAGTGATTAGGGATTCACATTTAGCAGTAAAAGGGTAAAGAAACAGCATCTTTCCCATACAGACTAGCAGAGCGGTTCCCCCTAGGAGGGAGGGGGAGCATTGTGAGCTGTCGCTTGACCTGGGTGGTGATTATACAGGTATTTATTCTCCAATAATTTATGAAGCTTTACAGGTATGTTCCGTGCACTTTTACATTTTTATATTTTCCAGTCACCCATAGTGGCTTCTTTCTTCCATGCCCTCCCAAAGGTGAAACAGTTCCTGTGTCCCAAATCTCCTTGAAGGGGTTTTTCATCTTTGGAATTTAGTTCACTTGGTTTTCCTTGTGACCTTCGCTCTCTGATGGGTTAAGGAAAACTTCTAATTTTGTAGATCATCTGGCTTTCCATGTTGCTAGAGTGGGAATGATGTTTTCTTGTGGTTTTCTACATCCTAAGTGGGATTTTTGTGTTCTTTTTCATAATTTAAATTATTTTTTATAAAAAAGAAAGAAAAAAGCAGTATTGGCCAGAAAGTATAAGGTTGGACAAGAGGGTGCCTGCAGGACTGTCAGGGAAGCGAGGGTGAGGGCTGGGCTGGCAGGAGGCTGGGAATGTCGGGCTGGGAATGTGGTTCAGTTTGGAAGGCAATTGAGAGCAGCTGTAGGCTTGTCAGCAGGAGAGGAGAGAGGCTGGGGCGCATGGCCACCCGCCCAGGGCCAGGGCAAGTGACCAGCTGGGCTGACACAGAGGCCTGGCCAGTGGAGAGCAGGAGAAATGGGAGAGGAGGGGATGGGCGTGAGAAGCGTGTGTGGTTGGCGGCGAGGAGGTGGAAGGCCCTGAGTGGTCAGGCTCTATACACAGGGTCCAGGGCAGGGGTGGAGCAGGGAGCATGCCAAGGTAGTGTCAGTCACAGGGTGACGGTTGGAGTGACACTGACACCACATTTGATGCCAAGATAAGGACATCTGCAGACAGTTTTAAGTGGAGGGAATATTAGAGCTCCCTCCCAGAGCTGTGGGGAGTAATTAAGACAGCAAGGAAGGGCTCAGTAACACATAACAGGTCATGTTGTGTCTGGAAGGTGAGAAGCACATGCTACATACAGGACTTGTGTATCATCAGTTTGTTCCTGGCATTCATATTTAATGTCCTGCCTTCTACTTTGCAACCCTGTAGCGTCATTCAGTTGGCTCTCGCACCCACCGTCTGTTGGTAGCTATCTTTC